TTGTATAATTTTTCTAAGAATAGATTATTTTATACATCTTTAAATTTCTTTTTAGATATAAAGAGATTGATGATAGCTATCAAATATTTGTATTGTGTATGCTATATATAGATTATATCTTTAACTTGTGTTTTTTCTTATTCTGTTATGATATTTTACAAATATGGAGGCTAAGGTTGCTATGGGGACTTAATCATAACAATCTACATCCTGAACGCCGCGTTTCAGCGTGCGTTCCAGCCGGCTGAAAAACCGGAAGTGACGTCACCCGCTAAACCGGAAGTGACGCGACGCCGGTACGAAATTGGATCCAGGTGAATGGGACAGATAGGACTTATAAAAGAAGACTCAATAGGACATGAAGACAAGCACTGGAGGAAGGCTGTTGGCCGAAACGCGTCTGCTTCAATCTTCTGCATTTGTATTTGTTATTTTGTGTATTTCTGTCACTCTGGGCTACTATACAGATAGGGGTAAGTGGAATTCCATTGCTGTTTTATATATATTCTAGTCTGTTTTGGGTTCCACCCCCATAGTGCCCAGTAGTGTATACACTTTTTTATATATTTTTATAAATAAATACATTTTATATTTAACCTTTGGAGTCTCATCTATTTGGACCACCGGGATCGTTAGCCAGTTATTGGCACCCCTGAGCCTGTTATACAGAGCCTGGTACGGCTCTGGAGAATGTGAGTGAGAGTCACACATTTATCTATTATTTATTTTTCATCATACAGTTTGCACTATGTTTTTTATGTTTTTTCTATTTTAGTTTATACCCCAATCAAGTTCTACGCTGTTTACATTACAGTCCAGTTCTATATTGGTAATATCACTTATTTTTGTTGTGATCACATTGGGGAGGTGTATATACTGGTATTTGTCTCTTTTTATTGCTCCGGTTTATTAAGACTAGGTGTTCTGAGGAGCACGGTTTATAGATCTATAAGTATACCCCAAACTTCTCTTTCTCCTGGTCACCTTTGTTTGTCTTAAGTGTTCTTTGTGGGTGATTGTCTATATTGGGGACACACTTTGGTAAGTTAGTAGTGTGTCCGCCCTGAGTCAGCAGTATGGGAAATGTGAGTTCAGGTCCTGAGTGACCAATATATATATATATATATATATATATATATATATATATATATATATATATATATATATATATATATATATATATATATATATATATATATATAATACCAGTACTGTATATTAGAAAAGAACTGACTCGCAGGTTGTATCTGATAGACCTACTTAAATCTTTTGCTTTATTCTTTCTGTCACATTGAAGTATAGTTTTTTTACTCTGTTTTATTGTAAGTTATTTCACATGGGATCTGTGTGCCTGGTATGATTGTTACTTTAATACCATAAGCCCACTACACTTTCTATGAGAGTGGGATAGTGTAAATGTGTTACACTGTTTGCATGATGAGCTCAGTATTTTTATAACTGAGACAAAAGGTCACTTCATTAGTATTTGAAAGTTAATTCCCCATATGGGATTAATTGTATAAAACACCAATCAGCATATCTTCCCTGCCCTGTGTGTTTGTTGCAAAGGATCCATACTGTAAATATGATTTGTTTGTAAATAAGAGAGCAACATTTACATTTTCAGCAGTCCAACACATGCTTAATTTCGTGCTCTAAGCTCACCTTTTTATTGCTACAGATGCTTAAAATGGTCCAGTGCAATACCTACTGCATATGTTTTGTGTCTTCTATGTCTCACATTATATGTGTTCTTTTAAATTGTGGTAGATAGCCTGGATCAGAGATCATGGACAAAGGTTTCTACCTGTGTTACTAAGGCTCTTGGAGACTGACTGGTCTAAGGTTTGCCATGCCTTTTAACATGGTATAGTATAAAAAAAAATTTAAGTTTCTGAGAGTTCTGAAAGATCCGGGTGAAACCATGTCTGTGTAATCTGGTCCAGATGTTTGCTCAATTTCTGTAAGATTTAAGTTGATGCAGCATCATCTCAGATTAGTTAATGGAAGTTTCATACAAATATTTGTAAGTTATGCGCGCGCTATATAAATGGATCCTTTCTTTATATACAATACTATAGTAGATTAAAGTGATTAAGTTAATTAAGAAATAAATCTAATACAAACTAAAATTGGTATACCATACAATAATATGTTCTGAGTCCAGCTGTTAACTGTTTATTCTGTGTAAATAGTGATTGTGATAATGTGTGAAGTGTGCAGCTTAACTGGAAAGTGGTTTAATTTATATGTTGCTGTGTTGTTTTAAATTATATTTGTATCAGTTTGTCTCAGTCTAGTGATACTGATAAAAATGCCAGTCAAATAACCTAGCAAATAACTGTTTTACGGGTTAAACTTGTTTTCTTGATAAGCGTATAACATTTAGTTTTGTGGGTAGACTTTTGATACTCAATTTGAAATATGTCCCAACTACATCCTTGCACGGCCCCAGGTACAAGAAGCAATATGCGTTTTAAAAATTTGCAAAGCCTTAGTGTTTTCAATATATTATAACAATGGAAAAGTACCTAACCGCAAGTCTGCATTACGCTCATGACACAGACTGTCGGTATTGCAAGCCCTATATGAAGGCTATGCTTTCATTGTCAATGTATATACCCCTAGACAACCTTGCGTTATATACACAATTTAACTATCCATTAAACCTTTAAAAGCCCCCTCCCCAATGTCCCCCTCCCACAGTCACTGCCCCCCTCCCCACCGTCGCCCTACCACCCTGTCACTGCCCACTCCCGCCATACCACATTGTCACTGCCCCTCTCCCAGCTGCCACCCTCTCACACTTCCACTGCCTCCCTCCCCTGCTGTCACACGGTCACTTCCCTCCTCACCACTCTCTCCCTCCCACACCTGACACCTCTCCTTTTTCCATACGCTGCCCCCAAATTGCCACCCTTCCACACACTGCCCCCTCACACTGTCACCTCCCTCCCCACACACTGACACCTGCCGTCTCCCACACTGCCCTCTTCCCTCCTCACACTGTTACCCCACACTGTCACCCTCCCCACACACTGCCTCCCACACTGTCACACACATCCACATTGTCACCCCCTCACACTGTCACCAACATCCCCACACACTGTCACCAATTCTCCTTCCACACTGTCCCCCTCTCCACACACTGCCCCCATGCTTTGTCACCTGTCCTCCCCCGGTCACCCACCTCCCCCACACTGTCACATGTCCTCCCACACACTGCCTCCTCACAAAGTCACCTTTCCACACACTGAACCAACACTGTCACACTCCCACACCCACTGTCAAAAAGGGGAAATTAGGCAGAGAAAAACGTATACATTTGAAATAATAGCAACTATATTAATTACAAAATGTTTGCTAATATGGTGGTACGATTTATGGAAATGGTCTGCCAAAGAATACTCAAGTCAAAAAAGGTTGGGAACCACTGTTCTAGACAAACTAAAAGTGTGTCAATACATGACAAGAAGGCTTTCACATAAAAGGAATCTTTTGCTTCCACACTGTGGCCATAATAAGCGGCTGCTGATAAAACATTGACTGACTCGCCTCCACAATGTCCAACAATGTAGTCATCAGTTTCTGAGGGACGTTTACCTGCTTCTTTAAACAAATCAAATTTACTGCGCTGGTCATTAGCAAAGTATTTTAGAGATTTTAAAATGTCAACTGCAGAAGTTATGTTGAGCTGCACTGACTGCAGTTAAAGCACTGTAATAATGTATCCCTAAATTCTGAAAAAATTCCAGTCTCTATGTTGCTCATTTGTAGAAAGCATTACAAGACTCTAAACTCTCTTCACAGTCTCCAGAAAATTAAGTAAAATGTCCATGATGCTTTCATAGTCATGGACTAGTGCGTGACAGGATTCTGCATTACATGCTCAGATGCTACAAAGCGCTCCATGAGTTGGTTTTCTTCAAGGTAGCGCAAGATCACTGTTAGCTAATCTACAAGTGAGTATAAAAATATTTAGTCTTTTAACACAGCCTATGATAGCATCCAAAACCTTTTATCCAGTATTTGTGTCAGCTCCTCACTAACATTTGTAGATAAGTAGCTTGGGTATCCTTTACCTTGGAGGTAGTTACCATTATGTGATGATCCATCAACTCTACAAGGAATATAATCACACTGAACAAACATTTAAGTTCTGTCCATAGTTTGTCAGGTCTTTAGTCTGCCTCTGAATGTTATAGTCAATGATACCATCTATTTTTCCATTTTTGGATACATCTATAACAGCATGGACATTATGGAGAGATTACCTGTGTGTAGAAATCGTCCCATTTGCATGCTCCAATACAAATATGGATTTCTTGCATGACTAAATAATTTGAACTCCAAGTAAACTCAACCTATTTTTTGCAGAGTAACATAGCCACTTTTTGTTCAACCTTATAGATTTTTACACATCTATAAGCAATTGATTTGTCTGTAGTGGTGTAACAACTTCTTCAGCAGTTGTCTCCTGTATATCTACGTGTGTGATTACACCTGGCTTGTTACACAGTGTTGTACTTTGTTCTAGTAGTGGTACAGCTGTTTCAGGGTTAGAAGATTCTGAAGGCTCACGCACAGATTCAGCTTCTAAATACTAAGCAGATGTCTTGTCAAGAGATAAAGAAGCATGTTGTTCCTAAGATTGATATGGGGACTGCTGAATAGATGTTGATAGAAAGAATCCTGTTATTTTGGAGATTTTAGAAATGTTTTCCTTGTTCATTGCTTTCTTTCCTCTTCTGTGTTCCACTCCTATGTTTTGACATCATTATATCAAGTAATTTTTTGAGAAATAAGAAAAAAAAATATATATATATATATATATATATATATATATACCAAATGCTCCTGCACTCACGCTAAAATCTCCCTTGGTACCCGGGTGCTAGCAATAAATAGCCGTCCAACCATATCTCCAAATAGGTAGCTGCACTCATGGTTAATAAAAAGTCAAAATTTTATTGCAAAAAGGTTAAAAAAAAACAGCGATTAAAGTTTCAGTCCTATAAGGACTTTCTTCAGGATCAAAAGTAAAAAGTTTTACTTTTGATCCTGAAGAAAGTCCTTATAGGACTGAAACGTTGATCGATGTTTTTTTTAACCTTTTTGCAATAAAATTTTGACTTTTTATTAACCATGAGTGCAGCTACCTATTTGGAGATTATATATATATATATATATATAACAAATTCAACTGTACCTTGCACACAGACTCCTAGTCTACTCGAAACCGGGTGCATAACCAGGGCTTGAACATCCATATAGTCAGGATTACGATGAAAGTCCACAGGCTGGACTGAAACGATTTGTTTTATGGGAACTTGAATAAAAGTTAATTTTTATTGGAAAATCCGTGAGTGCAGTCATTCAACCTGACATATATATATATTATATATATATATATATATATAAATAAAATTAAAGGAATCAAGATGCACTCACAGGTCTTCAGATATATGAAAAAATGGTGCTTTATTAATCCATGTGCGGTATACAACAACAAAAAAAATCAATCGACGTTTCGACCCTGCCGGGTCTTTTTCAAGATCAATGATCTCCGGGCTCGGTCTAAGATACAGGTGTTCACTTCTCGGGTCCTCCCCAGCGCGTGGGTCGTGCTTCTCTCCGTGCTTGGTTGCGCAGAGACTCGGGAACCTCAGAATGATTTGCGCGCGGTGGCGGCTGATCTAGGATCCAGTTGCGGATGGTGACTGGTGGCAGGTCTAAGGCTCTCAGGAAGCTGGGTAGTTCATTGGGCCATCGCATGGAGTGCCATGTATTTTCCTTTTTGGCTTGGAGGCAAAAGGGGAAACCCCACTTATAGGGTATGCGTTTCTCCTGAAGAATGCGCATTAGTGGCCACAGTGCCCTCCGGGCATCTAGAGTGAGGGGGGACAAGTCCTGATACAGCGATATGGAGGCTTCGTGGAAGGTGACGGCTTGCGGGCGTGCCGCTCGCATGATGGCTTCTTTAAGCTGGAAAGAAAAAAGGCAACATATCACGTCTCGTGGGAGGCCATCTCTCCTCGGGGGACGTAGGGCCCTGTGGGCGCGCTCTATGTGGAAGTCGTCTGGGGCCTCCTCGCCCAAGATGTGGGTAAAGAGCTGTGTAAGGGCTTCACCAAGGTCTTCATGGTCGGCTTCTGGCAGGCCTCTGACTCTGATGTTATTACATCTCCCCCTGTTGTCCAGATCCTCCATCTGCCTGCGGAGGTCTAGAAGCACTGAGCCTTGCCGTGGCATGATCGGCAGCCTGGGAATGCTGGATGGCCTGTAAGTTTTCACTCTCCAGCTCTGTGACGCGTTCTTCAAGGGCTATGAGGTCCCTGTGTACCTCCAATATCTCTTTCCGTATTGCCACCCTCAGCTCTGCGACCATGACGGCTTTATCCCGTTTAGTGAACATGTTGGCCGAGATGGCCACCAGTTCAGCTGTAATTTGCGTTAGGGCTTCACCTCTTGCTGAGCTAGGCTGTGAGTCCGCGCCACTCTCAGCTCCCGGGGAGGCGGCCGCCATCTTGTCCGCGAGTCTCGTGGCTCGGAAGCTATCCGGGGTGGAGAGAAAGTCGTCCATCGGACCGGCGTGTTTTCTCGGTGGGCTGTTGCCCGAGGGTGCCGTGGTGCCTTGGCGTCTGGTTTTTCCCATTTTGGGTATGTTAGTAGGCATATATTTGGGGCTTTGTGGGTCAAGGTTGCAGAGCTCCGGCAAAGTGCGACTCACTCCATTCACCGGCAAGCCACGCCCCCCCTCCTTTCTGTAGTGCAAATCAACAGTCGGAAACAATAGTTTTTGTTGTAAATTATAATGAAGCGATTAAGAAATAAAAGCTACACCGAAAATTTGGAAAAGTTCACTGACTTTAGCAAAATGTGATCCGCTAAAAAGTATTGTTGAACTTGCCAATATATTCCCGATTGGACGTTTGCCAATCATTGGCTGACTTTGCCAAAGTACACAGCGGTGATTACTTTCACACACTGAGTATACAGTTACCATTGTACCCGTTACCACATTCTCCCTATAAGTAATCGGAGCAGAACAATGAGGTGAAAAAGTGCAAGTGTGAAGTGTCTGCAACAGTTTATTCAGACAGGACTCAAACAATAAAAAATATTTCAGCAATGTAATCTTCCGGTGTTGGCTCTGTTAAAAAGGAAAGCTCTCCAATATCTGTCGACTCATCCTCTGGACTGTAGTCTGGATCTTTATCTTCAAGTACAGTAATAGTGGACTCCATTTCGGATTCCCTGTGGATACTTGAGATTTGAGAAATTGGAGTAGAAGGAATATCTACTACTTCTGGTCCGCATATGCCATTTCCACAGTTTATTTAGGATCATCCAACGTCTGTTGTCCTGGTTCTGCTTGTATTAAAATATCTGGTCGTCTTTTGTAATCCACTGCTCCAACAGGTTCTTCAGGGACACCGGTCCATGTCCAATTATCCCGCCTTTTACACAAATCATGGGTGTAGGTTCCAACATGTTTTTTCAAAGTAAACATTTCAGCTTGAGTGTAAGCATTCTTACGTCCAAAATACAGTGAGGTAGAGATGCATTTATTCAATGTCTCAATGGCGTATGTGTTGGTCCAGATATCAGAAAAGCCTTTTTTCAGGTAATAAATACAAATAACCTGAAACATAGTCATGGTCACAGACCATAGAAGAACCCTGATCTGCAACATGGACAGAGGCAACTGCAGCTGTTGAAGTCTGGACATCCATTAAAACATCTGTACTGATTTGCTGCTCACTAAACTGCAAATCATGAACAACCAATAAAACATGTTTTTGAAAGATTGTTGGTATAACATCAGGTTTTAGGACTAATCTTTTTTCGTTATCAAGATACATTTCTGTTAAAAAAATGTTCAGAGCATATTCTAAAATAGTTTGCTTTCTTTTCACGCATGATATACTGAATGACCATGTTAATATTCTCAAAATGGTCACCAGTAGCCAAAAGCCATGATTTAATTTTCTCTGGAGTTTTAGGAAAACGATGCAATGAGCATGTCAGTTTTTTTTTAACGTGACGTTTACAAGACACCTCCTAGTCATTTTTTCTTCTAAGAAAAATGAACATTGCAAATATGTAGATAGATAAACATGGATGTTCCACTTAGTTTAAACAGTCGTAGTTTCAGTGCCACTTTCCAATTGTCTTTTCTGCGTAGGAGTTCCTGAGGACACTGGTGTGCTAATGGAATGTAATGACTACAAATGTCATGCTTCACCGTAACAGGAATATTATTTGGAGTTACTTTGCAAGGCGTCACTTTACTTCCATTTGCACATTAGTTTTCTCAGAAGCCATGGCACAGAAGCCTGAGGGCACTGTAATTACACCTACCAATATTACAACACACTACAGTGCATATTTGCCATTGTCACTTATGACCAGTACTTTACGAGGAAGCCGATGTTCAAATGGAATGAAAGTAACTACTCTTCAAAAGGGGGGAGAGAGGGGGCACTAAGAGGGGGGAGGAACATTATGGGAGGGAGTGACACTAAGAGACAGGGAAGGGAGAAGAGCGGAACACTAAGGGACATGGAGGGGAGAGTGGCATGGTACAAGAGGGTTAAGAGGCACACAGGTGAAGATGCTTTGGGGGGGCATCAAAATCATCTTCGCCTGTGTACCCAAAAATCCTTGCACCAGCCCTGCTATGAAGCACTGCCCTAGGAAGCACCTCGAGTAGCCATCTGAAGGGTAATCACAAGAGATGTCCCTTGGGGGCAATGTAAACACTTCCTTATCTATGAAAATTCGGCATTTACATGAAAATGCTTACAGGAACAGCCTGTAGACACCAGAACTACTACAGTAAGCTGTAATTGATCGGTGTACTATAGTGTGCCTTTCATGATCTAAGCTTAATTTTTTTGTACAGTGGGTGCACTAGGGTGGTGAGGTGAATGTTTGATTTTGCCAACGTCAAAGAAAAAGAGCCTTGGGGTAGACTTTCAATCCATATCAACATTGGAGCTAGCCAAGCAGCCTCAGGTAGCGCAGGACACAGTTGGAAGTGTGTTAGATGCAGGGCCGCCATCAGGGCATTACAACCATGACTGTTGTCGTGGGCCAGGCGGTCCTGCGGGCCCCACATTGAGTAAGTACACATATATATATATAGCAATTTTCGATATATATATATACACATACACTTGCAGGCCCCCCGGCAACCTGTTTGTTGGAGAGGGGGCCCGTAGCACACCTCCCCTGCAGGCCCCCTGTCTAAACGCTCTGACCGCCACAGATCTTGCAAGATTTAGGATTTCTAGTAGCTTCGGAATTTAAGTTGTTGGGTCTGAAAGAAACAGGAGAATATCAACTGCGAATAACGCTAATTTTTTTCATACCCCCCCGGGTTAACTAAACCTGGAATTTGTGTGTTTTGGTTTATTTGGCGTAAGAGTGGTTCCAAACATAGGATAAAAACAAACTGGCTCTCATCCTTTACTTATTTCGTACGTTGCCAATATCACCGCCTACCAATCTTATTAATCAATTTCAATCTACCACTAATACACGTGTGGAAGCGAAAGCTACCTGGAGTGGCATACCGTAATTTAGGGCTCCCTTATATTAATGGAGGGCTGGAATTACCAGACATCAGGGCCTATTATAGGGCCGCGGCGCTAGCTCAAGGAATACGCATTTTGCGTCTCTAACATACGGATCCCCGCCCGCTTTGGCTGTCCCTAGAGAATGCATGCATAAGTCCACACAACATTGCTAGCTCCTATTTTTGTACATGAGAGTAAAAAACGTATTGTTTTCCAGGTTAGACACAACACACGATGTACTTCCCGAAGCGGTAGTGAATGTACTTTCAATGCTTTCAGTCAAACACTTGAAACCTCTCTCTCTGTTACAATGCTCTTCTCCAGGGGCCTGCAAAAGACAAAATGCCCTATATGATCCAATGGGAGAAGGAGCTGGGGTATGAGATACCCCTGTCACATTGGCACAAAGCTATGTCAATTACTAAACGAGCCTCAAGGAGCTTATCACTCTGGGAAGTCTCCTGTAAAATCACCATTAGATGGTACCTGGTGCCATACAAGTTATTGTGA